TTCGTGTTGACGCCTAGCTAGTCGTTTTCTCGAGAAACTGCCTAAGACTGCTAAGCTCCACCATGGCGGACGCGGCAGAACTAGAAGCTTTTCCTATATATTTTGTTTATAATTGCTTGATAAATGCTTAGTAAGAAAACTAGTTGACTGTCCTATATGCCGGTTGAAAGAATAGGAAGTAACCGTTATTGAAAAGTCCAGCTACGGTACCACTCATGGCCTAACGATAACGACCAAACATAAATTCGTTACATTACCTTTGCTCAACGTAAGCCCGAAAGTGGGTAACAAGAGTCGGAGCGTTGGCTGGAAGAAAATCTTTGACGACGCTTGCAAAAAATTCTATATTCCTGCCAGCTGGCAGAACAGGCGACAGTAAAGGAGGTACCGCTAGCTAAAGGTTTGGTCACGCCCCAACATTCTGCTGACCGCCTGCAAGGAAACGCGATTCTGCGGTCCGCCTGCCCCAGGCGATTATCTGAGCAGGTGTGACATGTCACACCCTACGACGCTTAACCCCGGTCGTCACCTAAGATCAAGCGTGGCGAAATTTATCTTCAGTAAAATAGTCGATAGCAACGCCTGCTATTGCGACACAGGGAATGGCGTGACATCGCAAAACTATAATCAGACTAGGACCATCCAAACGCGCATGATTCGCTAGGTAAAGCAAAGCGTATACTACTTCATCAAACGTAATCGACCATCATCGAATGTTCGAATATTCGATGTGCATGGAATGCTCAAATATTTGATAAGTATCGAATCATGACCATCGACTATTCGAATATAGCGTAACATTCGAAAGTCGAAGTTTTCGAATATTCGACTATCGAATATTATTTGAAACTAGCTGGCCTACACGGCTCCGCCCGGCTCTGTCAAAAATGGTAAAGGTTCCATTCCTATCCTTGTACAACCTTTCCCGGTGCCCACTTCTACTGCTATTCGCTATTCCCCTATGTTAGTAATCAGTATCACCTACCTTCCTCACTAACCCCCAGCTCCGTAGCTCAAACTCTGCAAAAAATCAATAAAATAGATAAAAATAACGGATAATTTTAAAAACTGATGGTGCTATTCGACTATTCGAGCCCCAAAATGTTTTTGTGACGGATCTTGCTCTTAAGACTCATTATTATTTATCGACCCCCGTCCTCTACATCTTACGACGATATTACTCAGATGCCATACATGGCCTGTGTTCACTCCCGTGTGCAACTATCGTGCTAGGCGATTTTGATATAGACTTCCTCTCTAATCTTCACTCGAACAGCTCCATAATTTCTTTGCTCCATGACTGCAACCTCAATCAAAACGTACACTTTCCCACTAGAGGAGACTCATTGATTGACTTGATTTTTTCATCTCACAATATAGTTCAAAACGTTAAGGCGCTGCCCCCGTTTGGATCCTCTGATCATAACATCACTAGCTGGCTTACCCGGCTCCGCCGTATCCGGACCAAACTTGGCACACATACACTTCGGGCCCCGGCGGGTGTCGCAGTCCACTTTTCGTTATCGATCGATGTCGATTTTACCGATTTTTATCGATTTTTTGGCAGAGTTCACCTACAGGGCTAGGAGTTGGCACAGGGGGGAAGTAGCATGGGGATTCCGAATACAATATTAGTTTTCAGAATTATCGATTGCTTTTATTGATTTTATCGATTTTTTGGCAGAGTTCACCTACAGGGCTAGGAGTTGGCACAGGGGGGAAGTGAGCATGGGGATTCCGAATACAATATTAGTTTTCAGGATCGTCCATTACTTTTATCGATTTTATCGATTTTTTGAAAATTTGAGCTAGGGGGCTGGAATTTGGCACAGGGGTGTTCGAGCATGCTGATCACCCCCCTTGGGGATGATCAGCATGCTCGATTACCCCCCTGTGCCAACTCCCAGCCCCCTAGCTCAAACTTTGCAAAAAAATCGATAAAATCGATAAAAGTAATCGATAATCCTGAAAACCAATATTGTATTCGGAATCCCCATGCTCGATTACCCCCCTGTGCGAACTCCCAGCCCCGTAGCTCAAACTTTGCAAAAAAATCGATAAAATCGATAAAAGTAATCGATAATCCTGAAAACCAATATTGTATTCGGAATCCCCATGCTCGATTACCCCCCTGTGCCAACTCCCAGCCCCGTAGCTCAAACTTTGCAAAAAAATCGATAAAATCGATAAAAGTAATCGATAATCCTGAAAACCAATATTGTATTCGGAATCCCCATGCTCGATTACCCCCCTGTGCCAACTCCCAGCCCCGTAGGTGAACTCAGCAAAAAAATCGATAAAAATCGATAAAATCGATATCGATCGATGACGAAAAGTAGCCTATGACACCCGCCGGGGCCCGTAGTGTATGTGTGCCAAGTTTGGTCCGGATCGGTTCAGAAATGGAATTTTCTATTCGGAACATACGTACACACAGACAGACAGACATACAGACAGACATACAGACAAACAGACATTCAGCTTTATATATAAGATTTCAGCTTAACGAACGTTCGAATTTTCGAATCAATCGCATTTGAATGATTTATTCAAATAATCGAATAGTTCGATTTGTACCTACTCTGCAACGTACGCGTTGCGTGCGCAATGCTGTGCTCACTCAGACAGTTGGAGCGTGCGGCGCACGCGCGTTTATGGTCAATGCGGCAAAGCGCGTGCCTTAATAGTGGGCGTATCCAGTATGCCAAACGCGTGCCATGCTAGACATTTGGTGCGTGCGGCGCGCGTACTAATGACCAACACCGCGACCCGCGCGCTACGTTTATCTTCGATCTCGCGATCCTCGCGCCTAATCTTCAAGCACGCCGCGCGCGTTCCTTTATATACTCTATGCGTGCGGCGCGAGCGCCTGCAATTAACACATGCTGTAGGCGCAAGGGATACTTGCGTAATGTACGACGCAGTGGTCACTGCCTCATCATTCAGGATGTTTGCTATTACATCTTAGTGTATGAGTAGTCGCATCGCAGAAACAAAAGTTGTTTCTTGCTTTGGAGAGTTAATCTTCGGTAGCCTTGCGAATTGGGCTGGATCGGAATTTTTGGATTTGAATACAAATTCATATTTTTTGGCCTAAGAAGTCTAGAGTTGATTATCAAGATCTGCGATATACAGCGCAACGAAAAACTGGAAAATGGCAGCCACCCGCGGACCAGCAGCAGCGGCGCGGCATCCGATGTCCCGCCATCCGCGGACTGGGTGTTGCGCCACCGTGTGACTGCACTTTGCTCAGACAGTTGGAGCATGCAGCGCGCATGCAGTCACACGGTGGCGCAACACCCAGTCCGCGGATGGCGGGACATTGGATGCCGCGCCGCTGCCGCTGGTCCGCGGATGGCAGCCATTTTTCAGTATTTCGTTGCGCTGTATATCGCAGGTCTTGATAATCAACTCCACACTTCACATGCCAATAATTAAGAAAGTGTGATTGAATCCGAAAAGTCAGATCCTGCACCCATTCGCAATGCTACCGAAGGTTCACGCTTGGAAGCAAAAACCAACTTCTGTTTCTGCTACTACCCATACATTGAGATGATGTATCCAACCTCTTGAGTTATGAGGCAGCCTGGCCGCTGCGTCGTACACTACGCGGGTATCACTTGCGCTTACAGCATGTGATAATTGCAGGCGCTCGCGCTGTCTACCAAAAAATTAGGCGCGAGGGTCGCCGGATCGAACATAAAGGGTGGTCCGCGGGTCGCGGTGTTGGCAATTGACACGCGCACCGCACGCACCAAACGTTTTGGATGGCATGCGTTTGGCGTACTAGGACACGCCCACAAATAAGGCACGCGCTTTGCCGCATTGACGATAAACGCGGTGCGCCGCACGCTCCAACTGTCTGAGCGTCAAGCGGGCGCAATTTCAAGTCATTTCAAACGGTTGTGTTGATCTCGCTTGTTTATCCTTTTGCACTCAGCTTTTTCTTCTAAAAATGGTATTTTAGATGTAAAGCGGGCCCACAAATGAAGAATTTCTCGATTGTTACTGACTGCAAGTTATCTTCCGGTTCTGCGCGTTCTGCAAGTTATCTTCTGGTTTCCCTCACCATATTTTTCTGGAACTATATCCGTTGTTCAAAACTCTGCCTCGTTTGCTGCTCATGATCGCCGAAATGAAGGTGCATCCAGATTAGAAACTCTCACCGAAATAATGTAAATGTGAGAACAGTGCGGCTGCAATGAGTACAGTCGGGTAAGGGAACGGAATCAGCCAGTGTTGAGCCTCCGCTGGCAACTGGTCCTTTTGCACTGGCATGTCGTTGAGGGCGAGTAGTTTGTGGAGTGGGTCGCCCTGTGGCGGCTTTAGGCGTAAGGGTGGCGCCTTTTAAGAATTGGGCTAAGGGTGGGCCCGTACAAATGTAAAGCACAAGAAAAGTTATTTAGAGAGTTTATTGAGAGCTCAACCGCACGCGGGGTGCAGTGGTAGAATATTGTCGTGATGACAGGCGGAGCCAAACGCTATGCACGCTTGTATCATATGAGGTCACCAAATGGTGGCCTTAATGGTGCTTACACGAAAAACAACGCAACAAGCGATATGGATGAAACGAGTGCCGCTAATATCGGCACACTCCGGGGGCGACAAACAATAAATTTGCAAAAAACAAGGCTACAGCGATGAAAGTGAATACAGAAAATCAAACATAAATAGAATAAGGGAAAATAACAGGAAAAAGGTATTCACGGCTCCTTCGCTGATCCAATCCTTGTCGTCGGGGTCCAATGGTTGAGAAGAGAATACGGAGAGTTGGGTGGCTAGTGGAAGACATCTAGGGACGATGACGTGGCGTGAACTTGTTTGATCCTGACCAACGTGAAGAGATATTGCACCTGATGAAGACGAAAGCTAAAGTAAATATAACTATTGATTTCTACAAGTCTGTGTAGCGCATTGCACGAGCGCTTTGGCCACCTTCAGCAGGACACATAGTAGGTACGCAATTGCACCAAAAACCAATTTTATCACAGTGAGGATAACTATTGGCCCAAATAGATAGGTGAGGCCTGCTGCTGCAAGTGCAGCAACTCCAGCGGCCAAAAAGGCTTTCCAGTGGTGCTGTATGACCATAATCAGTGGATGGAGGTCAGGTACATGTATATCATAGATCGTGTCCAACCAGCTCATGGATTTTTGGTCTTCTTCGTTAAACTTGAACACGGAATCATGTCTGGGGTGGTGGTAGAACAGCGTTCCATTCAACGGCAGATCCCATTTTCTGTCGCCACAGCTTGTATGGCACTTTCGCTGAACTACCGCGGAATCGAGATGCAGCAACATCATGGTTGACGGCTTTGTCGGACCACATTGGACAGAAAATGAGATCTCGTCGCATGAAATAGTGATCTCTGTAGGATCTTTCGACAAGCATGTCACATTTATGTTGGCCCCTGGTAGACAACTGTAACACCCAACTATGTTGCTCATTCTGTTGTCACATTTTTCTTCGTAGACAAATTCAGCGCTGTCGAGCAGGATGTTGGATTGGACTGTCACAATCGTCTCAATGTCCTTGACTAGGGCTGACAGCGCCGAGCCATTGGAATGTATTTCTATGAAGGGGGCCAGTAGGGGTAATCGATTACTGCTGTCATCTTCTACAGTACGCAAAGAGTAATCTGGATAGTGGCAATGATGCTTGGTCCAGCCTGTGTTGCAATCGCAAATAATTTTGTTAACGCAATTCTTGAAGTTGTTCATTGCTTCATTCCGCGTCGCACATTCGACCGGCAGCCTGAAGTCGTCAGGTAGAATGAGTGAGGTGTCGCTTGACAGTGCGAACCTTCTGTTCAGCACTGGTAGGTGCGAATTCTGTACAGATGTGGCAGTGATATTAAATTCTCGCAATTTGGCCGTTATGTACGGAGTCAAGACGATGCCCTCTTTTCGGATTACTTGTGACAAGCTACTCTCCACTTCGATGTGCAGTGATGGTGTCCATTCACTGCATCGTATAATTTCATGCACCGTTCCGGACACGGGTGTATGGGCGACCTTATAGAAGGTGCAGGAGGGGGATGGCAGGAGACAGCCGCAACTCATCCCTCCGCAAGTGTATTGACAGCCAATGTATCCTGGAAAGTCTCTTGCTTGTGACAGCTCCGGAACAGTATCGTTACGACTGATCGTGTCGCATACATTTCCGTAGCAGGAGCCTGCTTGGGAACATCTAACAGCTGAGTACACCCGGTGAACCGTGCTTCTGGTGTACGTTATCGATTCTTTGGAGCAGGTTAGACTTGCGGCTCTTAGCTTTATCTTGAGCAGACCGACCGTTCTGTTCTGGTGGTGGACTTCAATGCAATGTTCATTCTGGATCCTGTTGAACAGGAGTTCTCTGCTGAGCTCCAAGTTGCAGTTGTTCTGACTGCATACAATATTGGTGCTATATCGGGTAAAACCATGTTGGCATGCATCCACCGCATTCATTCCTGCCAATACTGCAATGCACAATGTGATTACTAACCCACCGCTAAACAGAGTCGGATTCAAGGAATGTAGCTGGACATTTTCTCGAGGTACATTGATAGAGTATACGTTTTGCACTGATGCAGGACTCTTACGGGTGATTCTGATAAGTGATAACATTCCCCACAGTGATATGAGAATCAGCATACTAATTACGTAGAAGATCATGGCAACGGTTATAACAGCACCAACCGGCCAACAATTTGGGTTCCCTAGCAATGATGTGCTAAGTAGTGATCTTGATACTGCACAGAAGTCAGGATTTGAGCACATCAGGGCATAATCGGTGGGTGTTTCATCTTCAACATATTTTATCGCAACTTTGGTGTGCGATTGCGTGGGTGACGGCGGTAGCTTGTAAGTGCGTATCCCATTGGAGCCGAGGAATGTTTTACACTCGGAACTGAAACAAAGTTCGTACGAGGTGTTCCGTTCCCGTATATCGACTACACCTTCTCTCATGTTGCATGATGGGCACTGGATGGAGATATCAGAGCAGCGATCATCACAGTAAGTAGCATCGCAGTTTTTATCGATTCATTGGCTACTTTGGAGTTCCGTGCGGGTGGCAACACTTGTGACCCTTGCATGGCGTTAGTGCTTGATTGTGACTGAGTTTCCTCGAGGCTTTCTTCGAAGTTTCTGATGACATCATAAGCTCTTGTCTTTGCCGAACGAGGCAGAACACGCCGAGTTGCGATTTGTTCGGCTGTGTCGTGAGTCAGTGCATCTCTAGAAACCTCCTCTGATTGGGAACGGATTTCTAGTGGGTACAGTTTGTTTATTGGTCTGTGTAGGGTGCCACCGCTGGGAGTAAGGACTTTCGCGGTCCTAATGATACCGTCGTTGCTACTGATTACTTCAACTATTTTGCCGTAGGACCAGTTTCCTCTTGGTAGCATATCATGTTCAACCAAGACGATCTCGCCTTTCTCTGGGACGGTTCTCGAGATATGTCTATGCTGTTTCAGAAATTGCTTCTGAGACTCGCGCAATGTTGTGAGGTATTTTGTGCGCCACTTGTCCCAAAATTTGGACGCTATTATTTCCGAGGCAGAAATCGCTTAAATGGCCTGCTTTCTAGTCTGTATGAATTCTGGCTCATATGAAGGATCTTCAGCGTTTTGTGATTCTGCTGAATCCTGAAGTGAGAATTTCACGTTTCCTTGAAGGAAGTCAATTGGTCTGAGCGGAATTTCTGACAAATCCGTGGAACTCAGTTTTGTTAGTGGGCGTGTGTTCAAGACTGCTTCTATGGAAGTGACCGCCGTGCTGAACTCAGTGAAACTTAGTTTCTTTCTGCCAACCGACTTTCTCAAGCATCGTTTAACGGAACCAACAAGTCGCTCCCAAACTCCGCCCATCCAAGGGCTGGCTGGTGGATTGTATAACCATCTAATACCGTTCGTGGCGCTGTAACTCATGACGGATTGCGCCTCGTATTCGCAAGGTTTAGAGAGTTCTTCGATGATTTTGGAACCAAGGCGGAAATTTGTTCCGCAGTCGGAGCGCACTAGTTTTGGAACACCTCTCCTTGATACGAATCTTATGAATGAGTTCAGGAATGCTCCAGCTGATAAATTTTCAACTACTTCCAAGTGCACTGCTCTAGTAACTAGGCAAGTGTAAAGGGCAATATACATATTGTCTCCATTCTTGGAGCAAAACGGACCGATGTAGTCACAACCAACATTACTAAATGGCTTTGTGACCATCACCCTATCTTTTGGTAATGAGGGCATTTGTGGAGAACCAAATGGCAGTCCATTCCAACGCTTACAGACCGCGCAATTTTTCAAGTAATACTTGAATGATCCAGATGCACGCGGTATCCAGTATTTTTGCCGTGTCAGCGATAACGTCTGGTCTTTACCGCAATGGGAATTATGGCTGTGCGTATTGATCAGAACCAGTCGGGTCATCTCACTTCTGCTTGGGGAGATTTTGTATCGATTGGTATTGGGGCATGTTGCAATCGAGAAATATGTCTGATCACACCATGTTTGTCGCGAACAACGTTCATGTTTCTGAACTTTCTACTAAGTTCATCTGCATCCACATTTTTGTGAATGTCTGCGTGGAGAACGATTTCTGCTGCTTTGATATCATCAGCAGTTATGTCGAAATTCGTACCGAATTTGGTTACGTGGTGGATTTCTATTGGAAGATTTCTCTTTTCGTTCACTTTTGCTACCACCCGGTGTAGGTATTTTCCTACGCATGCTACCATGCGCAACGCAACTGACAGCTTTGATATTCTTGACAAGTCAAAGAGTTGCTCTTTTCGAGATGGACAGTTTTGCACAGCGGCTATTGTAGCGGGCTTCTTTGGGCATTTCCTGAGCTTGGATATCGGCGATATTTCTCAAGTAGGTTATGTTTGGATAATCGCGTGACCATGCTGGTCCACGCACCCAGTGATGGTCTTGAATCTGATTTTTGGTCAGGCCTCTGGTGCCAGCGTCAGCTGGGTTGTATAACGTCGGAACGTGGTGGTAATGCACTCTGATGCCTCGCGTCTCAAACCACATCTTGAGGTCACGTATGCGGCCGCATTGATTGCTTACGAAAACTGGCAACTTCTTTGTTGATTTGACCCAACATAAAGCAACTTCGCTATCTGTCACTATGTGTAGTTCAACAACTTTGCAGCTGACAGCTTCTGTTACTGTAGTAGCCATTCTCATGGCTAGTAAGATCCCAAGCAATTCTAATCGTGGAATTGTCTGCACATGTTTCTTTGGTGCCAGTCGGGTCTTTCCAACAATGATTTGAGACATCTCATTCGATTCCAACGATTGCATGTATGCGCATGCTGCAATCGCAGCTATACTTGCATCCGCGAACACCCACAGGCGAGTCTCTGCTTGACTATAGGTCAAGCCGCCTAATAGAGTGCGGGGTACCGCAATCAATGCATCATTTACTTTGCTGCATTGATGATTCCATTTCTCGCATGTGTCTCGAGAAAGGCGGTCATTCCAATCAGAATGAGTGGTGAGGATTTCTCGCATCATTGTTTTCAGCTCTATCAACAATGGACCGGCTATCCCCAGTGGGTCGTAAATGGAGTTGAGCTGGCTAACAATATCACGTTTGGTCAAAGTGGTTTTCATTGGAAAACGTGTCGTGACCGTGAATCGGTCGGTTACTGTATCGTATTCCGTACCAAGATATTTCAAGACACCGGTCGGAATGGTGTCCTGTTCAGGAATTTGTCCATTGACAATGCTTGAATTTGAAATGAACTCCCTGAGATTCATTCCAATCTTGGCAAATAGTGCTTTGGATTCTTTGTATTTTCGCAAAGTCTCTTCTGGAGTATCCGCTTGGAGCAGGATGTTGTCCACATAGATGTAAGCGGCAATTTCGCGTGCAAGATCCGTGTCAGTGGCATTCAAATATGCTGCAATTCACATATTTAGGATACTTGGTGCAGCGGTTATACCGAAAGGTAGCCTTGTGAATCGATACTCAACGACACTGCCTCTTGTGGCTGGCAGGTTCACATTTTGTAGCCATAGAAATCTGCACAAGTCTTTGTGTTCACTTGGCAGACGAATTTGCGTGAAGGCCGCCTCAATATCGCAGAACAGTATGATTCTGCTAGTGCGACATGTAATTAGTAGGCTTTGTATCTTGTTGATAAACGACTCGCCTTTATGGATGGTGTCGTTAAGAGATAGTTTTCCTCTCATTTTTGACGAGGCGTCAAATACTATCCTGAGTGGCACCTTTTTGTGAGGTCGCCAGACGCCAGAATGCGGCATATAGTATGTGCCGACAGCATCTTTCTCTGGGGTTGTAGACTCTTTCTATCACCCCTTAGCTCTCATAATCCATGATGATCTTTGAGTACCACGCATGCTGCTCTCTGTTTGCTTTTAGCTGGTTTTGGAGAGCAGATAATCGTTTGATTGATACCGAGTAATTGTCGGCAAGGTCAACGATATTGGCTTTTAGTGGGAACGGAGCAGTGACAAGATTGTTTTGGAACGATATTGATTTTTCGTACTGCTCAAAGTATTTCTCAATGTTTCATCTTTTTGCAGTTCAGAGGCAGGTATTCCCAAACCTTCTAGCTCGAACATTCTTTCGAGCATGGCCACTTCAGTAGGTTGTTCGATAGAAGTGTAGTTGTGGCTTATAGACACATTCATATGCGAGCTGTCAATAGTGCCACGTCCATACAAAGTTGGACCAAAAACTGTTTTCGCAACATGCAGACCTGATGGTGTCCGAAGAGCGGTTGTACTACAACGAGGTCGTAATAGCGGTCTAATCCAACGAGAATACGTGGGATGATACGTTCTCCATGAACTTTTGAGTTTGCTATGCACAGCTCTTTGATGTGGAGAAACTCTTTGTCTTCTTTAGTGAGTCTGATAGCAGGGAATCCGCTAGTAATCACTGGTTTTGTTTGAATCACCATGTCAATGTCTGCACCGAATGCGGTAGTGATATTCAGTTTGACTGAATGACTTTCGAATTTTTCGGTGTGTCCGCCAATGCCGGACATAACACACGTTTCAGTGGTGATCTTTGGTAGTCCGAGTTTGGTGGCTAAACTCTCTTGAATCACTGTTTTTTGTGCGCCAGTGTCGAAGAAGAATAGCACTCTCTCGTATTGTTGGCTGATATGATTGTAAACATTGCCTTCGGCAGTCATTAGTACGAGCTGCTCTTGTGGAATCGCAGGAATGGCGATATGTCCATTTTCCACCAGCTCGTTATTCATGGTAGGTCGTTCAGTGTTTGGAATGAAACGCTGGCCTCCATTGTGCTGTGGATAGTTTTGCCTTGCGGCATTACTTGTTGAAACATGTCTCGTGTTTGGACCAGAATGATTGCGATTTGGTGAGTTGTTGTGTGCAACTTCATTTCTTGGCCACCGCGATATGCGCGGTTGATTGGTGCTCGCAGGATTAGTGGCTGCATTGCCATTTGCGAGGCACAGGGAAGAATGGTGGGTTTTTCCACAATTATTGCAATTTGGTTTTCTGCATTGATTGCTGGTGTGGTCCGTAAGGAAACACTTCCAGCACAAGTTGTTTTGCCGCACTATTTGTCGGCGCTTATTCGGGTCTGCAACTGTCCTGCAGAATGCCGAGTTGTGGTTTGAACGACCACAAAATGCGCAGTTTTCACTATGCGCAAAACTTGTCTGCCGCGTGCTGGGCTGGAGTTTCGTTTTTTCGAAACCAAGTCGAAGTTCTACATAAGCTTTTGCGGCTATCTCTTTGTCAAGAATGTCCAGGAGTTTTTCGATGGTAACATTATCAACTTCCTGGTTTTTGATCAAGACGTCCTTAACAACATCGTAAGGAAATTTTTTGATAATTGTCTCCGTCCACATCGGGTCACAAGTATGGCGGATATCATATCCTGCGGACACCATTTGGTGGACCAGAGTCCTGAAGTATCGACGCAATGCTGGCAACTATCCGCATTTTTGCCTGCAGATGGGAGTTCGAATAGCCGCTGCACTATTTTGGACCTATTCGTGGGGTGGTTTTCGAACCGCTTCTTTAGTGATGTTACCATCCACTCATAGTTTTCCGGTACGGGTTTTATGCCCCTTATTGCTGTTACGGCTGAACCTTGCAAGCTCTGCTTCAGCAACATTATTTTCTCGACTGTGGGGAAGTCCCTGCAGTTGTGTACAAGTGACTCATATAGTGCCCAAAACTCAGCGAACTCCTCTTGATTTCCGCTAAAAGCGGTAGTTTCACAGTCGGTGGTCTAACTGACCGACAGTTTTGTTCAGGGATCCTATCAACCTCTCGATTTGATACACTGGATTCACCTGAAGTGCTTTGTGACTCTACACCAGTATCGTTGCTGACTTGGATTTTGAGCCTCATTTGTGTGTGATACAAAATAACTTCTGCATCTGCAATGTTTGCCTCAACAATGTGTGCAAAGGCTTCCGCATCTTGTAAGGTTTTGGAATATTTAAACTCGTTCTCAAAGTCCTCAATTTCCTGTAGCAATTCTTTTTGCTCAGTTCTGGACTTTGCATTCGCGTACTGCTGCTCCATTCTTTCTATTTTGGATTGCAGCGATTGAATACCTTCTTTGAACAATGGAAGGCATTTTTTCAGTCGGATCATGTTTTCGGAACTGTGTTTGAGTCGTTCCTGATCATCCTCTGTGTACACGATTTTTTCACCGTACGACTCATATTTTTGCAGTAGAGTCGAGAGTGCGATTGAGCTCTTTAAGATGGCTAATTTGTAGAAATGAAGCGACATCTTTATTCTGTCAGATAGGTTTCTCTGAAGAATGGTTGTTTTGTTGCGTTACAAATGCAAAAGTAGGCGCTGTAGTGGCCTTTAGCAGGTAAATGCTAATTTTTTGCTACGCAAAAGTTTAGGGTTATGGTGGACCCAAGGTCAGTCTTGGCTAACCTTTTGCGCTGTCGCTAGGGACTAAACGCAAGCAATTTAGGAAGCTAGGTTCCAAGGATAGACTAGGCTAACCTGCGTGTTGATTCTAGGATCAGACACTTGATCGGGCTCACGTGGGCCGATGCACCAGAAAATGTGGAGGCTTTAGGCGTAAGGGTGGCGCCTTTTAAGAATTGGGCTAAGGGTGGGCCCGTACAAATGTGAAGCACAAGAAAAGTTATTTAGAGAGTTTATTGAGAGCTCAACCGCACGCGGTGGTGCAGTGGTAGAATATTGTCGTGATGACAGGCGGAGCCAAACGCTATGCACGCTTGTATCATATGCTCGCTTGTATCACCATTAAGGCCACCAAATGGTGGCCTTAATGGTGCTTACACGAAAAACAACACAACAAGCGATATGGATGAAACGGGTGCCGCTAATATCGGCACACGCCCTTTTGCCTTACAAGGAATGGAAGATTACGAAGTGGCCTTTCGATATGATATGAATATTGCTTTGAAGGTCATCTACCTTTCTTAGCTGTGGGTTTCCGAGCAAGAAATTACAAACCATTCAAAAGGGTGTAGGGCGATTCGCACGACCTTGACGCTTTCCGAACAGGACCAACGCCGCAAAGCAGCGCTCATCTCCTGTCCTCTCCGAACCCGCCCACCCCATGGACGAGTGAACGCGAAGCCCGTCATGGCGAAGACGCAGAGTCGTTGCGGGACCTCATGCTTATAGCATTGCGGCTGGCGCTCTGACCGCGTAAGTCACTCGTCCATGGGGTGGGCGGGTTCGGAGAGGACAGGAGATGAGCGCTGCTTTCGCTTTGAAATTTCGGGGGTTAGAAGTGGCAGAGAAAGATCGAACTTTGGCCCATAGGTTCCATTATGGGGCTCCTACCCTGTGACCTTGTTTTGCCACGGGTCTCATTCTGCCGACCCACTGCCTTTAAAGGCAGTGTCCAGGCTAAACCTAACCCCCTTCGATTAGTGTCGATCCTGATTGTGGGCCCCAGAAAAGGGGCATCTGCGTTGGTCCGGTCTTCTAACGTTGTCTCTGAATGGAGATAAGGGGCCTGGAAGTCCTTGCCTGGGCGGAGTCTGATATCAGGGTCTGCCTCTCGACACGTACCGACATGGCAGTAAGCAGAAGCTGCTTACTGCTGCAACTGCACCCATGCAGTTGCAGCTCCTCCCCGCTGGCATGCCGACGAGGACGAGCGATTTGAAACTGTCAAGTCCAAGAGGTGCACTTTCATGACCTGGATCCTTCATTCTAGTTGCTCTGCTTTATATGAACACAACATTAATGACTAGAATCTTTATTGTCTATATATGTAAGGTTAAAAGAAGGGAAGGGAAGCCGCCGGTCACCCGGTTAGGCAGCTCATCTGGAGTTGCTGGGCACCGCCCAGTTTGGGTGAGGACTGTCGGACCATCTCTTAGTCTGCGTCTCGACAAAACTCATCCGCGACCTCAAGACAGGGTCCCCAGGAATCGGGTTTTTTGTGGATTTTGGAGGGTTTCAAGTTCGGAATTGTAATCAGGGCCACGGAAAGGCCCCAGAATGACGAAAACGTGGGGGGTCAAATTCTGGGTGGACGCTGCCTTCAAGCAAAGCAACGGAAGGAAAGGTTTGCGGAGTGCGTGACGTGTTAAGACAAGTGAAAATCAGGGTGGCGCTTGAGACCGCCCGTGCGAAGAAACCGTCTCGCCATTCAAAATCCATTTGGTCACGCGTCGCTTTAAACATCAACGCGCGTTGTGGCTGGTAACGTTGGGTCCCGAAGCGCTACAGGCTTGTTGCAAGCGACAATGAGCGCGCACCACTTCCACACGTATTTTCATAAGCTTTTGAAGGAATTTTTCGTCAAAACATACTTCACATTGTGGAAAACGACATGAAAGTGACGGAAAATTCCTTCAAGAACAGTGAACGCTCACAGTCGTTCGCGGCGACCTCTCGCTTACGCTGGTGTTCAAGGCACGGCGCGGGCAATTAGGTTTTATAGTCGGGACAGGGGAACGTCCGCCACTTTTGAGCCGCCTCCACTGGCAACTGGCCCTTTTGCAATGTTGTTGCATGTCGTTGCAACCAGTACTCAGACAATAAAAGGCTCTCAGCCGGCCCCACCAAAAGCGTCGTTGCCTTGTCGCCGCCACGTTCGCTTCGCGCTGAAGACTTTATGGCAGCCTGCTCGCTGCCAGTTCTAGAAAGTTTCCCAGCGGGAAGCGAAAAGTGGCGGCGATAAGGCAACGACGCTTTTGGTGGGGCCGGCTGAGAGCCTTTGATTGTCTGAGTACTGGTTGCAACGACATGCAACAACATTGCAAAAGGGCCAGTTGCCAGTGGAGGCGGCTCAAAAGTGGCGGACGTTCCCCTATCCCGACTATAAACCCTAATTGCCCGTGCCGTGCCCTGAACACAAGCGTGAGCGAGCGGTTGCCGCGAACGACTGTGAGCGTTCACTGTTCTTGAAGGAATTTTCCGTCACTTTCATGTCGTTTTCAACAATGTGAAGTATGTTTGACGAAAAATTCCTTAGAAGAACAGAAGGCCTATACGAAGCTGGGCAAAATCTCCAATGCATGATCAGTGTGAAATCTGCTATTGACTTCGCAGCGTTCAAATGATGCAGCATTACGTGGATATGTTTGATTTGGGAATACTCATTACAACCCGAAGGTCATTTGAGTCCGAGGAAAAATGTTGCGATTGATTTTATCCTAGCTGCACATTTGAAATTTTGCTCAGAAAAACCTCCATAACTCCCGGTCCAGAACCAGCAGCAGATAAGAAGTAGATTTGAATTTACCGTTTTAAACCCAAGGCAATAGGTATCTATCCATTGAAAGGCCACTTGTCCTTGTTAGGCTTTTTTCGGTTTAAAGGTGCCAGATATAGCAGCCAAGTGCCAACTGGTTTCTTTGCCACGAATGTTCTGTCAGAGTGGCATGCTGGGCTATCTCAACAACATGCGATTGTCCGCTGCATGACAAGCAGGTAGTAAGCTGATGTGCTCCAGAACGTATGGTTACTGTGACACAAATAGCGTGCAGTTGCAGAGCGCCGTCCGTTTGACTTTGTTTGAAGTCTCAAGGCATGCCATCATGGTTTTTTGTGCTCAAATGTTACGATGACTACTCTTGTATGTGAAGAGCCGTTCTCAGCAGCCATCGAATCGTCCTTGTTAACAAATGTGTGTCACGGGTGCTTCAAATGTTCTACTCACCGCAAACTGAAGAGTTGTTCTCGGTGTTCGACCGTGCACTACTGTTCTGTTAAATGCCAAAAGAAAGACTGGCCTGATCACTCGGTAAGATGTTACGATGTATGTTCTATTCCACTTAATGCATACTTTCAAACGTAGAATGCGTCAGGCGGAATGTCGCTGTTTGAAGAGCTACTCACCACGCGTACCAAGTTGTTTTGCCCGTCTTTTGGCCCGTTTTTATTGGAAATGGTCCACACAAGGAAGCTCGGTTGTGTCATTCAATGCTAGACGATGTTGCGATTTGATGGACAGTGAGTATTGGTTCGAACATTGTTACGTACTTGGCAATTTTCTTACATATTGTCGCTCCATTTGCACGTTATTGCATGAGGTGAAGTTCGTAATTAGTGTTCACTTCACGATTGCTGCTACTCCGCTCTGCTTCTCTGAACCTGTGGCACTCACGGCTAACATGTTGGTAGCATGAAACAAGAAGTTTGCAGACTGTTGGATGGTAGGCTTGAAGTCAGCATGTTGGTGGTTGGTGTATGTTGCCAACATGTCAACCATGCGCGCTGCAAATAGTGCTGCTCCTGTAGCGGGAGGCAGCGACGTCATCCGCCGCAATCGATACGCATCAATTGCGCTGCTGCCACCGCTACTATAGACTACCAACGCAGGAATTGTTCCAAGACTAAGGAAACCTCTTACTGATGCTCTTGTTCTTCCTTCATTCTTTTGAGCTCCATCCAGGCAAGGTGTGGTGTCGCTTAACTTTGTCAAGTATATTAATCACTGATATCGAAGGCATACGTTTGATTTTTTCATTACCGTAGTCGTATACCCTTTCTTTTCTAATAATGATAGTTTAGTTTGCGCATATGGGTTTTTCAGGAAGATCTGCGAAACATTCTACAGTACTTAGTTTAAATGGATCAAGAGAAATGCTCCAGTTGCTTTGAGTGACAAAAATGTCCAAGCTACATCCTAGTGGATAAAAGCACCGTCCACCCAAAATAGGGTCGATAAGATTTTCATGCCAAACTGTAGTGGATGGCAAAAGTTGCTTCCGAAGCAAGAAAATTGCTTCGAAAATTGCTCGGGTGACAGATTCGCCACGTTGGCTCCTCCCCTTTGAATGGGCGTGGCTTTGGCCCCGCCCTTCCATGCGCGCCCAACCAATCACCGTTCCGAAAAAATCGCTCTGCGGGTTCTGAAAACGGGCGTTGTGGTTTTCGCAGATTTCCGACTTGATATTCGGAATCAAGGGTATGAGAAGGCCCTGGAACGGCAAAAACATGGAGGTCGAAATTTTGGGTGGACGGTGCCTTTAGGGAACGGCCATAGGTTGTCGGTGTTGTCGATGTTGTCGGTGTTGTCGGGGTCAGAGACAGTTTAGAGAGCGCGCGAAACGTGGAGGCTATCATGAGGTCCTACAACGACCGGCAACCTCGGCAACCCCGACAACATCGACAACACCGACAACCTATGGCCGTTCCCTAAGTTGATAGTGTGTGTGCCGACAACACGTGCACCTGGCTGAGATGGGATTGAGTGAGAATGTAAAACCCCCTGCATCAGCAGGAGTAATGAGGGCTTGTGCGGCTCATGTCCCGCGCGGTCGCTTCACCTGGACTTTGCACCTCTGTCACGAGTGTGCTCTTTAACACGTTGACGACCTTGTGTATCCGAACGTATGCACGCCCTGACTCCCGTTTGGCAGTTTCGTGCATCCGCGCATATGCACGCTAGTTTTTTAGGTGCAAGCGAAAAGTTTTAAGGTAACTTCTATGCAGTAATACTATTAGTGGCCTGATTGTCTTACAGAACACAGGGCTTCGCGGGAGCTGTTCAGAAGTTTTGGCCGCAAAATTGGGTAATCAGTACGTTTCTGATGTAGTCAATACATGCTAATTACGTTTTCTCGAGAAGGTGAAAACTCTGTATAGCTGTTCTGAAATCAAACAAAGATGAATCAGGCAAAAAACATCTGGTTTTACAACGCTTTTCTCGAAGAGCGATTCCTCAGATATAGCCATTGCATGGATTTTTGGAGGGAAAATCGATGCAAAAACTTTGATTTGTGTGAGTCCTGGTAAGGCTCTGTAATATACCTGTATGTCTGAAGAAAGTTTGCATGTTTTATTGATAAGTGTCAAAAAGACTCCCGCATAATGTTTTCGTGCATCCGCGCGTATGCACGGGCCAAATGCGCGAAGGACGTTAGTGGGAGTTTCGCCCAAAATGGCGCGGTCGTCAACGTGTTAATCATGTTCTAAATCAGCGATTGTGTAGGACAATGGTGAGAGAGCACGCTTATGAAAGAGTTACAGAGCTCAAGCGAGGCGTTCTGGGCGACCCGAGCGCACGGGCTCCCATTCCTAAGAGGGTATGTGCTGCAAGTCGAGCAGATATCCTGCTTAATATAATGTCTCTGCAGACGCGACAACGCTTGTGTGTGTCTCAACAATTGTCGCTGCGAGTTTACGACGAACGTTTTATAGTGTTTGCTTTACTTATTCTTTGCTTTTCGGGTATACTCGTTGCTGATAAAGAAGAAGATAAGTTAGAGCGTAGTTTTATTTTTTGAGTAGTTACATCATCGCTTATCCTCAACATTATATACGTGAAAGCCACGTCTCGTCAGTTTCATGTGTATTTTTGTCACATCATGCCTCTTTTTTTTGTGGTGAAGCAATTCTTTGAACGCTAGTGAGCTCTACAGTATCTTCCCTTTCACCTAAAATGAAATACTAGCGACCCTACGGGTCGCTAGCAAGTGGGTCGGGGCAGATACAATATAAGGGCTTAGTTGTGACTATAGATACTTCTTAAGTTTCCTATTCCTTTCCTGAGAACTTTTTTGCGAAAAGCATTAAAAGGAGAACTGCTCGAAGAAGCGATAAACTCCACAAATCGTTCAGCATTTCTCGAAATTCCTGCTACAACAATGCATGGAGAATATTATTTTCCTCTCGTTTACCACGCTCTTTCTGCAAATTTCCTCTCCTCTCAGAGACATTCAGATAACCTCCCTCCCCTCACTTTTCTACCCTCTCAAAAAGAATTTGCTCTTCCAGTTCTTCTCAACAAGTTCCATGAAAGATCGTTGAGTAAGTAGCAGAACACCTACAGTTTTGTAGAAATACACCCATAACAACTATGTGTACTATGATAAACACTTTTCTCTCAGAATCAACGACAGCTACTAAATCAACCGTGCAAGGGCTTTTTCAGAGAATCCCTCAATTTTTTCGCCAAAGGAATATGAAGTTTTATTACAAAAGGAGATCACTCCCCGAAAAGCACACTTCTGAGCCACCTAAAGACCGTCAATTAACATATAAAAAATTTGTTTCCCTGCCCGATCGAGTTGCCCTACGTGCCGCTTACAGACCGATAGTAACTATTCAAAAAAGAAATTTATGCCCTATGTGCCGCTTGAAGACCGTTTAAAAATTATAAGAATTGCCCCAAACACACAAAAATCTGTTTCCCTGCGCGATCGAGTTGCCCTACGTGCCGCTTACAGACCGATAGTAACTATTCAAAAAAGAAATTTATGCCCTATGTGCCGCTTGAAGACCATATATATAAGAAAAACCAACTACGACTCATACAAAAAAAAAAAACAACGAATTCCAGTATTTACAGCGTATTCTCAAATTGCCGCACATGTCACTTTAGGACTTTCAAGTCTGAGAAATGCCCAACGCACAAAAATCTGTTTCCCTGCGCGATCGAGTTGCCCTACGTGCCGCTTACAGACCGATAGTAACTATTCAAAAAAGAAATTTATGCCCTATGTGCCGCTTGAAGACCGTTTAAAAATTATAAGAATTGCCCCAAACACACAAAAATCTGTTTCCCTGCGCGATCGAGTTGCCCTACATGCCGCTTACAGACCGATAGTAACTATTCAAAAAAGAAATTTATGCCCTATGTGCCGCTTGAAGACCGTTTAAAAATTATAAGAATTGCCCCAAACACACAAAAATCTGTTTCCCTGCCCGATCGAATTGCCCTAGGTGCCGCTTACACACCGATACCTAGTTCAAGCCCAGCGGGCCCAGTTACACAAGCAAAGCAAGGTTGTTGTTAAATAAACGCTTTCAAAAGTACCAGCGAGGCCAAGTTACTCACGCCTCTCTTGTCTACACGCGGAAGCAAAATAATTCTAAAGTGACTGTTCTTAGAGCATTTTTACCAAGAGTTGAGAATATAGATAAATTCAGCTCAAGTCAAGCTGTTCGCAATTTGGCATCATTTCAAAAGTACCTGACAGGAATACAACACATTTGAAAGACACATTATAGGATAACAAGCTCGAAAAAAGTAAGTATAACAATCCGGACACTGGCGACCCAGTCTCCCATTGCGACACTCATGATTGCTTTTCGAAATACGTGTAACCCTTTTACGAAAATACGCTTAGTCACTCGTTATGAAATTTGGCAGCAATCCAATCCAAAACGCATGCCACTTGGCAGCAATCCAATTTCAAAGATCAGTGTATTTCATCATAATTTTTACGTCTGCGGCCTCCTCGTTTGCCATGATCCAACTATCGGCGGCTTAATGGGTAAACAACGAATTCGTTATATATTACGTAGTGATATCATTCAATCGAGTAGTTCGTGTGATAAAGACGATAAGTCAAGCCTAAAAGCTTACTAGTGTTCAAGGAAATGCTTCACAAGAAGAAAGAGACATGAAATGATAGAAAATACAGATACAACTGACACAACGTAGCTTTCTCGTAGATAGCCTGAGAATGAGCGATGGTTTAATTACTCAGAAAACAGAAACTATTTGACTTAACTTCTCCTTTACCAGCAACGACTTACTAAAAACAAAGAATAAGATAAGAAAACAACAGAAAACACTCTCTGAAACTCGCGATGACAATTGTTGACGAACAAGCGTTGACGTTTGCAGTGACACTATACCAAGCAGGAAATCTATTTGGCTTTCTCTACGCGCAAGTCGTTGACAGTTTGAACAACGGTACTATAGACCTCCCGCAATGAACAACCTTCGTGTTCTTCATCGCGGGAGGTCTATAGTAATCGTCAAATTTACCAAATGTACTGTTGTTAGCCATCAGAGATAGAGAGGATATGAGAAATTTGCGTGAAATCTGTTCTCAGCAAATGACGCAAGTCTATAATTGCACGATCAGTTACCAAGTCAGTGACATCTGGTGGTAAATATAAGGTGCTAAACATCAGCCAACCATTAGCAATTTTTAGACTGTGAGAAGCTGATCGAGTCGACGAAGCATGTGGAGTACTTTTCGTCGCTCTTTAAAATCCTGGTCGATTATATGCGCGGGACTGATATCGTTAGTGATAAAAAAGAGATGTTCTCGGCTTACGGAAAGGTTTGCCTATCTCTATTTAGTACATCTAACATTGACTTGTTACTTTGCATGTCCTTCTGAACTTGTGCTATTTTTAGATCGTCACTAACGCTTTTGCAATCACTGACGCTACTTCTAGAACTCTAGGAACAGGACTTTATCTTGGGTAACTTGAAGGTGCACCTGGGTTTATGTTTTACCATCTGTGAGATCTTCAGCATCTCTGCTCAGGATCACTCCTGTACACCCGATGTTTTCGTACTATTTGAAGGCGCGACTGCTGTCATGCGTTCGCCAGAAGAAGGAAAAAGATACGATCGCAGTGTACGAATGTTTATACGCTAGAGTAAAAACTATAGATAAAAAATTATAGCGCTAATCCCAGTAGGAACCTAGAAATTCTTGCAATTTTAACAAGATCTTGGAGATGTTTCTAGACAATACAATGCTTAGCATCATCTTCTTACTCATAGATATCTCTGTTTGTTCATGCATGGTTTTTTGTAGCTTACGATATCATATGTTGATATCATGGAACTCACGCAGGAAAGGAACAAAATCTTGCATGATCAGTTTTGTTTTCAATGCTTCTGTTCTTCCTGCATTTCTAAGGAAGAGGTTTGTTTTCTCGAAGCTGGTAGGATTACAACACCGATTGATTGAATTCGATTCAGGATAGTTGGAAATTATCGATCAATACGTTTTGCTGTAAAGGTGGATTCTGCCTGGTGGACCCAAGTAATGAGTGGCACCCAGTATGTATCCTCTGCGAAAAACAAGTGCCTATCAGCTTGAAAGAGGTGAAGGTTTGAGATCATTTGTAATGCTGAACGTAAACAAGAAGTGACTTCTTATTAAACATCCGCATTTGGAAACATTTTCGAATTTTGAAATATTTATGGCCCAGGATTTCTTCTAATATGTATACATCTCAGGCCATGGACTTAAATGCAAATGCTGAAGTCGAACTGAACAATAAGTCGCCATTTGGCACAGCATCAGGTTGAATATACATTTACGCTCCTCAGTTTCGCTTACTCGCAAAGAAGCTGGAATCTGTTTCATTCTTGCTACCAAAATACTAAACTTTTTTTTTAGAAAATGAACTTTTGGAACATTGGCTCGAAGTGTTTGAAAAATTTGTCAAGGTAAACGGTGGTAAAGGTTGCTCAATCGAATTGTGAAAATTTGTTAAGGTGCTGTCGCCATTCAATACATATCTCGTTGGCATAGCTCAAAAATTTCTATCTGCTGCAGAATGCGTTAATCGAGTGGACCTTCTTTGCAAGTATGCTGACTTCGGTCTAGCAGCATACAGGTAAGAAAGCTTTGTCCAGCTTGGGTGAATCGAGCAATTTCCGCGTCAGTGAGCTTCGCGACTCGTTCGCACGCGTATAGCTCGCAACCAAGTTAACCTCAGCAATTAGAGGTCCGCACGAAAGGCCCTTGCCTTATGGATGCATAGTTTCTATGCAGAAGGGAACGAAATTGACATATAGATACATTTTTTTTCATCAAGCAGCGGCCTGTGCTGAGGCACCCATTTTCTTTGGAGATGACCTTGCTGTGCTCTACATACCCTTTGCTTCAACCAGATCGGCTGCTGGAAGGCGGGGCTTTATGACCTAGGAGGCGACTGCTAGCTCCGCGACGCAGTCTGCGCTTCCCTCGCAAGTATGCTCTCTGATCATTTTCTAGCTTCAATTAGGTCACGGAGCCCCGCCTTCGCCGTCGATCTGGTTGAAGCAAGGAGTACTTGAGCTCACTTAGCCGCAGCATCCAGAAATCTACGTGCGATCGACGGTCTCCACTGGCATACGTGACGATGGGTCGGTCTTCTTGATGAAGTAGGTTTTCGCTAGTACCAAGTCAGGAGCCGTGATAAACTCCAGGAACGATCCCTTCGTCATTGCATGTCTCACATTCGTGGTTTCCATGACATTCTGAAGCATACGTCTGCAAGGGGGGAACATGGCCTCTCCAGGGTGAAGGGGGTATGAAGTCCGCTGGGGGGGGGGGGGGCAATGTTCGTCATCATTGCTTCTCATGTTCTTTTCATTCACATGCATCAAGCGAAATTGTAGCCAAACCGGGTTAAAGTCGAATATTGGGTTTTACCCGCTGAAATTCGAAGAAGAAAAACTAGAATAAGTGAGACTAAGAAATCAACATTTTAAGCAAAATTATAAAACTATCGGCATTATTAAAATCAAATTTAGTGACATTTTGATTCTGAATATTATTACTATGATCAAAACTTACTTGCAGGCTCACTGAGAAGTACATCGGAAATTTGCCGCCTATTGTTCAGTTTTGGAAAACGACGAAAAAGCCTGGAGAAAAGTTTACATGTGAAGCCTTTGTATATATATGTCAATGAAGTTATTACTCATGTATTTGCTGAAATAGTAAGTGAAAAAATCGTAACATTTGTGTAGAGAAGCAGGTGCAACTAAGGGCATCTATTACATTTGAAGAGTTGGTGTAATCAGGGTTAGTTTTACTGTCAAAATGCTATAGCTACGAGGATCGTGGAGTTCTACAATCCGCCTACGTGGACGATGATAAGGACGAGGAAGGACAGCCAGAGATGCATTTTTCTACGTTGGAGCACTATACAAGAGGAGAGGGACAATCGTATATGATCACTGCGTGATTATTCTGAAAAAAATTTTGTTTTCCATCGAAGAAGATTGAGAAATATATAAGATCTTAAACTCAGTCATAATTAGCCTACTCTAGTTTAGAAGTCTACTTTCCATCCGCTTTTGAAAAACATACAGCTTGCCAGGAAAAAGAGGGGTTTTTCCTGCTAGATAGAAATAGTTTTAGTCATTCTTTCAAAATTGTAGAATTTTTCTATAAAAAATTGTAGATTTTTGATATGAGAAGATAAGAGAGTCTCTAGCCATACATTGAATTACTCTTGTTGGAAGCTTCCAGAAAATATATAGCTTACCAAGAAAGAAAGGATTTTCCTGTATTGTGAAGGTGGTTGGAATTGCTTTCTGAAATTAAGGAAATTTTTTTATAAAAATTCATAACTTTACTATACGAAAAGCTAGAAGAGTGATTTGCAATCTATTGGAATCCCCTCGTCGTCCGCTTTCAGGAAATATATAGTTTGCCAGGAAAAAAGAGGATTTTCCTATCGGGTGAAAGGGGTCGCAGTCAATTTTCCGGAATTAAGCCAATTTTTAACTTTAAAAAATCATAACAATTTTATATGAAAAGCTGGGAGAGTGCTAGGTGTTTATTGAATTCCTCTCGTCGTCCGCTTTTAGAAAATGTATAGGTTGTAGGGAGAGGGATGCTAAAAGTACGTGGTGAAAGGGGGAGGAACATGGTATAATGGGCATGTTCCTTTAGTTCCTTAAAACGACGCTTTTTGAGTACAGAAAGGAACATGCCCATTATACCATGTTCCTCCCCCTTTCACCACGTACTTTTAGCATCCCTCTCCCTACAACCTATACATTTCCTGAAAGCGGACGACGAGGGGATTCCAATAGATTGCAAATCACTCTTCTAGCTTTTCGTATAGTAAAGTTATGAATTTTTATAAAAAAATTTCCTTAATTTTAGAAAGCAATTCCACACCTTCACAATACAGGAAAATCCTTTCTTTCTTGGTAAGCTATATATTTTCTGGAAGCTTCCAACAAGAGTAATTCAATGTATGGCTAGAGACTCTCTTATCTTCTTATATCAAAAATCTACAATTTTTTATAAAAAAATTCTACAATTTTGAAAGAATGACTAAAACTATTTCTATCTAGCAGGAAAAACCCCTCTTTTTCCTGGCAAGCTGTATGTTTTTCAAAAGCGGATGGAAAGTAGACTTCTAAATTATAGTAGGCTAATTATGACTGAGTTCTCCTTCTAAGATCTTATATATTTCTCAATCTTCTTCGATGGAAAACAAAATTTTTTTCAGAATAATCACGCAGTGATCATATACGATTGTCCCTCTCCTCTTGTATAGTGCTCCAACGTAGAAAAAAAAATGCATCTCTGGCTGTCCTTCCTCGTCCTTATCATCGTCCACGTAGGCGGATTGTAGAACTCCACGATCCTCGTAGCTATAGCATTTTGACAGTAAAACTAACCCTGATTACACCAACTCTTCGATGTAATAGATGCCCTTAGTTGCATCTGCTTCTCTACACAAATGTTACGATTTTTTCACTTACTATTTCAGTAAATACATGAGTAATAACTTCATTGACATATATATACAAAGGCTTCACACGTAAATTTTTCTCCAGGCTTTTTCGTCGTTTTCCAAAACTGAACAATAGGCGGCAAGTTTCTGACGTACTTCTCAGTGAACCTGCGAATAGGTTTTTGATGATCATATTAATGATATTAGGAATCAAAATATTACTAAATTCAATTTTAATAATGTGGATAGTTTTATAATTTTGCCTAAAGTGTTAATTTCTTAGTCTCACTTTTTCCAGTTCCTCATCGGCCGTGGGTGAAGGGGGGTCAGCTGGGTTCCGGCCCTGGGGTGAAGGGGGTAGGAACACATTATCGCCTTTTCACATGTATGTTCTGAAGACCACTTCGCCGTTCTCCTACATGTCCGTTGCGGTCTGCGCCGAGTAGAATCATCACTTCTTCTGGTATTAAGCTAATGTCGCTATCTAGCTATCGTCGAGCTGTTACCAGAACTCTTCTTTCCCAGCTTCTCCGCCATACGCACAGAAGGGGAAGATGGCTTCTTCGGGGTGCAGGGATTCGTAGGGGTCCCGCCCCTTCAAGGTGAAGGGGATAGGTGGCCGATGGGGGGGGGGGGGGCTGCGCCAATGTTCGTTACCATTGCACATGCTGTTCTCGATTACATACTTTAAGACTGCAGCCTAGCCGTGTTGAATCGTCAAAAATCAGGTTTTGTTCGATAAAATCCAAAAAAAAAAACATCCAGAAAATCAGAACGAAATGAAAAAGCAGAACTTCTGGAAAATTACGAAAGTGAAGAACTAATCGTGCAAAGCCTATGTGTATATATGTCAGTGAAGTCACTCAAGTATGTGCTGAAACAAATCTTTGGTGAATGGTTCAGAGTTGAGTTGCCTTCTTCTTACCAAAGGATAAGCTCTCTAAACAGCTGATCTCATGAAGAGTCATACATTGATTCAATGAAAGGTCATTGTTTAAGATTTTTTATTATAACTGCTAGACATAGGAGATCGTAACGTTCAAGTACAAAAGCGGGATTGCTTATTACAATGGAAACTGAGGGACACTAGGGTCACCCTTACTGTCACAATGCTAGAGCTACGAGTATTCTGGAGTTCTCGACAACTCGCCTATTTGGACGATAACATGGGACGAAGAACAGCCTTTATTTCCCCAGGTCGAAGCATTACGTAAGAAGCGGAGGACAACTGCATATAATCACGCTCAAATTTCCCGAAAAAAATTGTTTTCCATCAAACGAGAGTAAAACTTGATGATCTTAGGAGGAAAAAACAGTCATCATTCAGCTCATCTGAAAAAGTTTTCTGGACTGATACTCTAGCCTGAACTTTGAGCCTTTTTATTTCGCGGGACTCGTCAATAACTCGCTTTTCTACAAGTATAGGTGAGGTTTCCCCACGAAAACGTCTACAAAGCAGATTTTTGATGAGATATCGGAATGTCTATGAAATGAACGCACTTCCCGAAAAAGTTCCTCTCGCTTGAGAGCACGACCTCCATCAATGAGATCCTCACTCACGCGCTTCGCTTTCAAGAAGAAAGCGACAGAATTTCTTCGAGTGAGCGCTCTCAAAACAATTTTTTCTACAGGTTGCGATACGGCGACACCAAGTCATCCCCGGTAGTGACCTCTCTGAGAAGTCAGCCGTCACCGAACAACGAGACCCCGTTACTCTTATGTTTTCCTTACACAAAACTTTTTTTTTCGATAAATGGCCTTCAATCATTGATCAAATTTTGCCAATTATGTACGAAAAAGTTACCCACTATAATCCTTTATAGAAAGCGTTGGCTTCACCAGCCAGCTCAGTCATCTAGCTCTCTTCAATATAGGAAGACCTTTCAAGTGAACGCTCATCTTCACCAGCGAGACCCACTTACTTGAATGCTTTCCTTTCTTCAAAAAAAAAAGCAGATTTTTTTTAAATAAGCGCTCGTTTCCAACCGCCTTCCTACAAGATAAGAAATGCTTTACTTAGCAGAAGATCATTTCCACCAGCTCGCCAGCCAGACCCACTAATCAAGCGTATAACCCCAAGTAAAAGCTCATTTTCAACAGGAGACCGAGACCGCTAGTGGGATTCCGTAAATAAAAACTCATCTTCACCTGCG